ATTTTGTCAAGTTAAAAATATTTAGTGAAAATTTTAAAATAATTTGCCAATAGCAAATATTATTAATATATTTCAGATTTTGATCTTGTTTTCTGTTTTATATATTTGAAATACTTATAATTATAAATATCACATGAATTATATATCGTATAATCATATACATATATAAATAGTATTTTAAAAATTGATCTATATTATTTGTTACGATAATTATATAACACATATAATACAAAAGTTGTTCTAGAAATTATTGCGTAAAGTGATACAAAAGTCAAAATACTGAATTTAATGTTAATATAACAAGAACAGTTTTATTTTTGGATACACAATATTACTGCAATATTACGTATTAACCTTGTATGTATATACATAATTAATTATTCATTTGTCTACTCGTATTGCTTTTAAATATCTTAGTTAACTATTAATACTCTATCTGCAATCAACTTTTCTTGAACTTGTACTTGCTAAGGATAGGTTTTTAACAGATCTTCTGGTACTGCTTTTTTATCCACCTGCATAGTTTTACTATTTTCGTTATCTTGAATATTCAAAACAGGTTTTTTAGATAAGTTAGATTTTTTACATTTTTTAATATAGATTTTTAAAGCTTCTTTTCCAATTACAATAAGAACAGAAATAATCATTAATTGATTTATTTATGGTTAGGCAATACTAATTGAAGAGAAAATACTGTAGATTTGTGTCTGAAGAAGTTAACTTTCTTTCTATTAATATAGAGAGAAAAAAGCCACCAAAGTAAGTTGTATTATCAGATATGCTCATACTTGCTATGCAAATACTTTGAAGCTTCTGTTAGATCAAAGTAGTAGTGGAAAAAAGCAATTCTGAAGGATCTGTTTGATTCCACTATGAAAAAGTTTACAGTAGCTTGGATCATTACACTTTATGATTTGAGTTATATAATGACAAGTTATTATATATTTTTCTATCCAAGCTGCTGATCTTTCAGTTAGGCAGTAGAATTCATCAGAAGAATCTATATACTTAACAAGAACCTAATAATCATCGATAATTGTATCCTTCTATACTGATACCAAAACATCTCCAGCTATTTTGAAATTGCGTTTTTCTAATTTCTTATCACTTGTCCTTAACTGTACATCTAAATATGAACCAAAGATATCATGTAGAAAGATTATATCAGCTAAGTTATAGCTTAAAGGTGCCATTTGTCTTTCTACTGGATTAGATGTATTCTGGTGTGATGCAAAGCATGCTACAATGATAGTATCAAGATTATACTTAGTAAAGTGATCTACTATCATCTAAACTATTTTTTTATAATATAAATTCTTGTCAAGTTCACTATTAGGTATCATTACTACTATGGGTTTAGGCTGGCCATCTATCATAGTATAGTGTGTAATTTCTTCTTAACCATTAGATCATCAAAGTCTTTGCCATGAGAGTAAATAGTACTGCTATCATGTTTACTATTATGAATTTTTATGAATGTTGAACCTGAATATGTTACTACTTCAGCTTGTCTATATTTATCTTCCTATATATCTAATACTGTATAAACTGAAGAGATCAGTTTATACCTTTTAGCAACAATCCAAACATAATCTGGTAGTTCTACTTAGTATTCTAGCTTTATAAGAATCAGTACTATATGAATTAATTATTATTAGTAAGCTTTATCTTTTTATTTATTATATTTTAAATAGTAATTCTATTTTATTTTAAATTATAGTAATCTTGTTTGTTGGCTATGGCTAAACCAAGAGGTATTTATGCTTTATTATTTTGAGATATTACTAAAACACTTTTGAAACCCAATAATGATATCATCTCTTTTATATTTCTTATTAAAGCAGCACAGAAATAAGTATTTTCATAGCTTCTTGCTAAATTCTGTGATCTTAGAAGCTTTACTGGCATCATTTTAACATGTCGCTTTCCTTCTTTATTATTTTATCATCTTGAAATTAGTCTAAAATATATTGCAAAGCATGACAGTTTATAATTCATATTTGTTAATGCTTCTTGAAGCTAGTCTAAGATCTTGACAGATTATATTAATTCTAAATGCTATCTTTTATCAGCCTGTCCATCTAGAGAAATAATTTGAACAATAGCTTCCAATAAATCTGGCTATGTTTCTTCTAAACTTGACAACCGACTGTTGGCCTAACAAGCTAAATATCAAAACCTGCTTCTTTAAGCTACTTCTCTATCTGCTAAAGCTTCTGCTTTTGTTGAGATCTATATTTTAGTTGAGACCGTTGGTGGTATTCTAATTTAGTCAAAGCTTTTAGTAATGATATAAGTTCATTTTAAATATATTTTTTTTTTCTTTATCAATATCAAAGATTATTTTTTTATTTTCTAATATTTCAAAATACTATAACTCCTGATTTAATTGAGAAATTGTGTTTTTGAGCTTAGACTGAGCTGGCACTTTTTGAATTTTAACCATTTTGTTCGTAATCAAATTGATGACTAAATTTAAGATAAGAATCTTACAAACACAGAAATATAAGTAAGTTTTTATTTTATCTACTTATTGCTAATTATTTTTTTTTTTAGTAAGTTGTTTTTAGATTATACCAGAATCAAGATATACAAATTAAACAAATTTATTTACGAAAAAGATTCAAAATTTATTAGAAAATTTTAAAGATAAAATTATTGATTTTATATCATTTTAAAGCATATGTATTTAATATAACAATCTAATATACACATACTTCATCTATAATACATGAGCTAGAATCTAATATTTATATTAATTTAATTGTTTTTCCCAGAATTTAACTTTTGAATTCAATAGTATATTATATTAAATAGTCTTTGTTGATATAAATATGGGAAGTATAGATATGCTTAATAGATCTGTTTAAAATTATTATATAAATATATATGCTAACAATATTAAATTTAATATGACCAGTACATTTAAGAGATTCTTGTTAATATAAATATAGTAAGTATATAGATACGCTTTAAGAATTTTGTCTAATCAATACTGTTATAGAAATATTAATATATAATATGGATTATTTTTATTTTTTTTTTAAATTAATATCTCAGTAATTATACTTTGAATATAGTGAATATTTTGTTGATGAATATAGAAGTATAAATGTATTTGAAATATTGCGATTAAATATATTATTAAGCTAACAATATTAAATTTATTGGCTATTTAATATGACCAGTACGTTTAAGAGATTCTTGTTGATATAAATATAGTAAGTATATAGATATGCTTTAAGAATTTTGTTTATTCAATACTGTTATAGAAATATTAATATATAATACAGATTATTTTTACTTTTTTTTTGAATTAGTACCTCAGTAATTATACTTTGAATATACAGTATAAATGTTTTGTTAACAAATATAGAAATATAAATGTATTTGAAATATCACAATTATTATAAAATCTCAAAATAGTGGGTATGAGCATTATTTTAAAAATCATATCTTCTAAAAATAGCATATATAGATTCAAAATAATACCCATGTATATTTTAAAATAATACACATCCCACTATTTTGTATTTTGAGAAAAATAGATTCAAAAATAAGGATATTAGAGAGTATGTTTGGTCTAACCCAGTTCTGATTTTTAAAAAGTCCAGATCTAACTTAGTAGTTTAAAATACAATATAGATAATTTTGAAAGCAAAATACCAAAAGTATTTATGATTCACTTTTATTAAATTTATCTGAACTAGTTTTAGACCTACTCTAAAAAGTTCTAGTCTGAACAAGTCCTTATTCAAAAATCTACACTATATATTCAAAATAGTACTCATAAGTGTACTCAAAATAGTATACAAGTAGTCAAAATAGTATGCAGATGTCTGCTATTTTAAGATTTTACAGTAAGCATATTATTAAGCTAACAATATTAAATTTATTGTTTATTTGATATAACTAGTATGTTTAAGAGACTCTTGTTCGATATAAATATAGTGAAGTATATAGATATGCTTTAAGAATTTTGTCTATTCAATACTATTATAGAAATGCTAATATATAATACGGATTATTAATTTTTTTTTTTTTGAATTAGTATCTCAATGATATTATATTTAACCATTTAGAGAGTATTAATGTGTATTAATAAGTTATTATATAGAAAAATAGCTCTAATAGAATATACTGTTTAGTTTTAATAGCAATTCAAATTTATTAAGAACTGGACATGAGTTATCACTTAATATGATTATGTATTTGCTTAATTAATTAATTTAATCAGAGCTGGGAGTTTTAATCACTTAATTTGATCAGGCCAAAATAGTTAAATAGATCAAATCTTAATTACGAATTGATTAATTTAGGAATCAGTTTTAAGTTAATAAGTAATTAAGAAATAATAAAAGTACAGAGGTTAGATAGTATAAAGATAATGGTAAAAATAGGCAAGTTTAGTAAAGTATTATTATTTACTTACATTACCGATATTATCTTGCCTGTCTTTAGATAACGAATTAGAAAAAAATTAGTTATCGAATATGAATTTTTTTTTTTTATTTTTTTAATATTAAGGTGAGATCATGTCTCTGGTTTTTATTAACATATAGCTTCGGCAATTACAATTACATATACATATATATTAACTTTACGAACTACAGAGATTTAAACTAATTTATTTATGATCTAAATCTACTAGAGTGGTCTATGCCCTATACATATATCACCTAGCTTTGTGCTTTCTAACTAACTATTTTTAGTAACTGCATATTCCCCCATATTTTATATAACTAGTCATAATTTTCAAGTTGGTATATCAGATATTTGCTTCTAATGAGCTCTCAAATTGGTATATCTGCAAACACAATCTATTGCAAATCCTATTAGTGCAACTGTAATTAGTACAGGTGACCTTTCTACAATCTCGTATTTCAAGCCAGAAACTTGCCGTCTAGTTAGATTTGCCACATAACAGAGTTGATATTACATTGCTGGATATACCAATTGGCAAGAATTCTTCCACTTATCTGCTCAGGTACTACTAACCCGTATCTCAAGTCAAGTCCTGCTACCACCACTAGTTTGCCACCCCAGGACTTAACATTCTTTTTCCGGTATAGTGGTACCAACTAATCTATTTGTACTTCCTCATATAGTATATTACTAGAATTATATTTTGTAAGATCAAGATGAGCCTGGGTCTTACTTCTAGCTATAGGCCTTGCGTTATATTACTAGGAGGCGTACTCTAATTTATATTAACTTCCAACTTGAACTCTCATCTATTGGTTGGTGTTGCATTATTGTTGATATATTTTGGCTTCTTTTATCATCGACTTTTATATAGGTATAACCAGAGCTCTGACTTGGTACCTTTAGACATACTAGATTAGCTAGCCTGCTTTTATAAAATTATCTTCTTTAGTTAGTTGTTTCACAGTACCAGAAGTGTTTCTAATTCAAGTAAAGCCAATCCTTTACCACAGCTTTTTTACATGTCCACCGCTTCTCTCGATACTTCAGTTTTGGTAGTATTGTATTATCTTCCCAAGCAAATATCTAATGCCAATTCAAATTAGAACTGATATGTATAATCTATTGATTATCCTTTCAAGCAAGTACCCCACAAGTTGGGTGTAGAGATGTTGGTACTGTTTAAAGCGAAGGCAAAGGGATATTGGTATTGCTTTCAGATCACCCAACCAAAGGATTTACATGTGTGATCTTCTACAACCTAGACCTTTTATAAGAGATACATGTATCGGTACCACTCTATAATCAGGGCTTCTTCTAAGAATTCCTATTTCAGAACTTGTACTTGTACTTGGATTTTCCACAGAGCTCTGCGTCTAAAATAGCCTTCCACTATTTAAACTTACAGAGGATTAAAAATCTCAGATTTTATACTTTCAGGTAGATTCGAACTGTCAACTTTGTCTGTGGGGTTTGGAAGCTTAACCAATAAGCAACATGGTTCAAACTCCTCAAACACGAATTTTAATAATATATATAAACAAATTGTAGTAAAGAAAAAATAAAATACTTAAGAAATCAAATCTCTGAAACTTTATTAAAGTAAAAACTTAGTCTTTAAATACATTTTTTAAATTATTTATTTATTTATTTATATGATTTATATTATTTAAAATATACAGTATAATTTATATTTAATCAAAATAGACCCAATTTTTAGTCATAATCTTAAACTCAATCTCTAAAAAGCAAATAAATGAATGAATAA